CTTTCTTATGCAACACAGGCCCACCTGCCCAGGGGTGGCACCACCCACAGTGGGCTGGGCCCTCCCACATCACTCATCAAGAAGATGCCCTTCAGACATGGCCACAGGCCAGTCCAATAGAGGCAATTTCCCGATTGAGGCTCCCTCAACCCAGGTGTGTCAAGTTGACACTAAAGCTATCCAGCACAACTGTCTTATAATTTGGAAAAAGACACGGGCAAAACTAGAAACGAAACACACAAACAAAACCGAGTTCCTCCAGCCACGATGTTACATGAGTAGGAGAGGTGTGGTGGTTTGGATGAAAATGTCCCCACGGACTCAGGCGTTTGACACGTGGTCCCCGGTTGGCACTGTTTGCAGAGGTTAAAGAACCTGCAGGAGGTGCAGCCTCACTGGAGGAGGAAGGTCACTGGAAGCAGGCTTTGAGGGTTTATAGCCTGGCCCCACTTCCTGTTTCTCTCCCTCTGATTCCTACATGTAATGAAAATGGGACCAGTGAGCTTCCTGCTTCTGCTGTCCTGATGAATTCTCTAACCATCCAGAACCATAAGTCAAAATAAACCCTTTCTTCTACAAGCTGCTTGTGACACGGTGTCTATCACACAGAACAGTCACTACTGCAAGGGGACAAGGAGAAAAATTTCCACAAGGTCTTCAAACTCCTACACATGGAACTTTAAGATTTTCAACCCTGACAAGTCTCATAATGGAAAGAGCCCAGCAGACCTGTGCAGTGCCCACCTGACCTTCAGAACATAGTGGCAACTACCCAGCAGGTCATCAAGGCCTTTCTAGACTCCAATTTAAGAGCAGAGGGGAGGGAGATGGCTCAGTGATCAAGAGCAGACACTGCTCTTCCAGAGGACCTGAGTTCAGTTCCCAGCAGCCATGTCAGGCAGCTCACAGTCACCTGGAACTCCAGCTCCTGGGGAATCTGACACCTCGGCACTGTACTCATGTGCACATAACCAAACACACACACACACACACACACACACACACACACACACACACACACACAATTAAAAATAAACCTAAAAACAAACAATGAGTTTCTAGAAGAACATGACCCTGGGAGTAGGGGAACCCTAACAGTTTACGCAGGAAGGACCTCCTGACTCCATTAACCTGGAGGGCTCTTGCTTGTGCTTTGCTTGTGCTGTAAGAGTTGCTTGGGCACCTTTGGACTTAGACAGCTCACAACAGCGTGAACACCAAGCAGAAAGAGAGGTTTCTGGCTGCCTCCTTTCTCCTCTCCTTTCATTTTGCTTCAGTCAAGGTGACTGTCACGTGGGGATCTTCACCTGTCGTGACTGATGCTAGGCTGCCTTGCCCTTTTCTGAACTAATTAGACTCCCAAAAGACTCATTCTAAAGGATGTTTCCCCTTGAGTGGGCAGTATCTAAATTATGATGATTGGGTTTGATGAACGTTCTAATAATAGGGCTTTGGAAAGAATACTCAGATAACGGAACACATCAATAAATAGGAAGAGATGTAGTAATTCATACGTGTCATCTGTTATTCACATGCAAAAGCCTTACGAAGCGGCCCTGACGATGCCAATACTCAGATAACGGAACACATCAATAAATAGGAAGAGATGTAGTAATTCATGCGTGTCATCTGTTATTCACATGCAAAAGCCTGATGAAGGGCCCTGACGATACCGCCCTCCCCTCCAGCCTCGGTGCATCTCTGCATCTGTTGTCACAGTGGCTTATGAGGCTACAGGATGCAAGGAGAGATGGCTCCACAGCTCAACCTTAACTCACCATCTGACCCCAACCTGTACCTCCTGGATTTTATTAGCAAGAGTGACCATCTGTCACAGTTTGCGTGTGTATTGGCCTCACATGTTTGAATATTTAGTTGTGCCATTTGGGGATTCAGGGTCTCTAGGAGATGGGAACTTCCTGAAGAAGCAGGTCCCTCGGAGGCGGGGCTTGAGGTTTATAGCACAGCTCCCTTCGTCCCCTTCTTCACTGCCTCCTTGGTATGAACAGCCACCTCATGTCCTGCCTCTCTGCCCATACAACATAATGAACTTTATCACCTCAAGCCCTGAGCTAAAAGAAGCCTCTCCTCCTGTAAATTATATCTTGTAAGGTATTCAGTCACAGGGAGAGCAAAGTAACTAATAGCCCATCCATTTAGTTACTCCGGTCACACCTACTTCTCACTATTGTTACCTAGTTGGTCACCAAGTGCTGCTAATGGAACACTTGCTTTTCTGTCCCCCGTGTCTGTTACTGACTTATACTGTGTTAGAAGATTCATATTAATGTGGCATACATGAAATATCTGATACTCTACCCTTTGGTTCTGGCTCAGTCCCTCATGAATTTTTACTTATCGAGCTAGGCTTCAAAATACAAACCAGATAAATAGTGGAATCATATTCATCTTTGAAGAACACTGGTGAATAGTATTACAAACTTAGATTGTAAAAAATAATTCTAAACATGACATAGAACTACAAGCTGTAAGAATAGTTTCTTGAAGATCTATGAAATAAAAACACTATGATCAAAGACTGGAAAGACTGGGTAGGATATCAGTGTATATAGGGTACATGTTCATTTTCCCAATATTCAAAGGGTTCTTAGAGTTCACAAAGGGAAAAAAAAGAATCCTATGTGAATGTGAAATAACACCCGAGTCCATCCCTCGGTCATACCAGAAAAGCAGAAAGTAAAGTGAATACAGATAATGCTACAGGAAGGGAAGGTGTGCCGTGAAGAGGAGGTGTGGGAAACCCTTCCAAGCTGAAATGCCCTGCCTAGACCCAACTACCTCACACATCAATCTTGGGAGACCTTGAAGCAGTTGGAAAACGTCTGTGTCCTCTCATGTCTGTGCCTTTGAAAAACAGCAAAGCATGTCTGCACAGAACAAACATTCCCTATAAAGCCTGCTCACTGACGTTTCAGCTTTGAGTCCGAAGGGGAACGTCTTTAGGAATGTGTCTGTGCTCACCAACACCAAACCCTATCATTCCATCAGCACGAGCCTGGGCTGGGAGAACAAACAAACGCTCATTACGTGACGTGAGCTACGTGAGGCACTCACACCCTAACAAGGAAGCAGAGCATCAGCAGTGTGCGCAGAGCAGGCACAGCTGGCATGCCTCCCTCTGCCCAGGCACACAATCATCCCAAAAAAAGGTGCCAAAACCATCCAAGCAAATAACACAGAAGACTCAACTGTCCACTGCAGGCTCTGATGACATGGTAAATATGAACAGACACACTCTGTCTGGAAGGCAAGAGAATCAAAGAGCTAACAGCTCTTCCTGTGAATCTGGACTAGGTGGCCAAAACCCACCAGCAGGATGCAGAGGAGTATCAGGCAAAGCCCAGACATATCGGTGACCCCTTGTCAAAGAGGAGTTTAAATGAAGATAGGGCTAGAAATTGGAATGGAATTGGAGGTGAGTTTAGGGGATAGAAAGTTAAACCAAACAGCACTGAAAAAAAAAATCACAAAATTTAAACAATTATTTCGCAGCCTTAAGAAGTTAGGGCTTTGAGTAAGCCACCCATCAGACTACCACTATGACAAGATGGACGGCTAGAATATGGAGGTGAGTTTAGGGGATAGAAAGTTAAACCAAACAGCACTGAAAAAAAAATCACAAAACTTAAACAAGTATTTCGCAGCCTTAAGAAGTTAGGGCTTTGAGCCACCCACCCACCAGACTGCCACTATGACAAGACGGACGGCTAGAATACGTTCATTTTTGCTGTTCTGGATGTCTTTACATTGCGAGCACTTGCTCATTATGTTACTAAGAATAATGACATGTACAGGAATTCAATTTCCTAATAACTTTTAAAAAGACAGTTGGGAGTTTTACATTTTTGTTTTGTGCAATGAAGTTTCAGAAATTCAAACTTTGACCAATGGTTTGTCAAAATTCATTTGATTCTATCATTTGCCTCTGACAAAATTAATAAATAGTCCCTCATAAATCCAGAGTTTTCCAAAGCCACTGGGCTCTGAAACTTCTAGAAAGGAGGACCAAGCATGGAGATATGCAGTGTGATGATTCACACAGACCCTGTGCTGGCAAGCAGCATCTGGACTAGAATTCTGACCTACCCAGAGCACCAACTCCCACACACTCAGCCTCCTGCCCTGTCCCAGAAAGAAAGGATTGTGACGTATTTAAAATACTGAGTGCCAGGAAGCCTGTGATGCTGTGTCCTGGAGATGACAGATAGCCAGGAGCTGATGGTCAGAACTGTCATGTTAAGTCTGATTGTCGACTTCACTGGATTAAGAGAAGCCTCAGGATAGTTCCAGAGAGAATGAACTAGGGGCAGGGAGGGCTCCCTGTATGTGGGCTAAGGTCCCAAACTAAATAAAAAGGGAAAAGGGGGAGGCAAGCTGAGCACCAGGGTTCCCTTCTCTGCTTCCTGGTCTGCTGAGATGTGAACATGCAGCCTCTCCCTCCTGATGCCATCTTCCGCACAGCGATGGACTGCGTCCTCCAACCACGAGCAGAGGAAACCTTCGTCCCTACAAGCTGCTTTTTGTCACGTGTTTTGTCACAACAATGAGAAAAGTAATTAATCCATGAACAGACTCAGTATCACTGGTTTAAGGTCTGTCAAGCTCAGCTTTGCCTCTGACAAGATCCTCATCTGAGGACTGTGGGTCACAGGCAAAATTAGCCCACAAAAAGCAAACAGCACAAAACCTCCTGGAAACTCGTATGAGCCTTCGGCAGCTCTGCATGTCAAAGGCAGTCACGGGTAGGCGCACACTTACTCTGGGATGCGTACTGCCCCTCTGCAGCTTTGTCCTCCTGCTCGTCATAGTCCCTGCTGGACAGCTGCCTGTTGGCTGTCTCCAGTCGATCTATGAACAAAGAAAGTAGAACAGAGAAATGCACACAGGGATAACTCTCCACCCAACAGAGAAACACAGCCAGTGCCGAGAGCTGCGCACGAAGAGAGAGCTGAGCAGTTTGGGGTTGGGTGAAGACCAGTAACTACATCCTCCAGTCGATCTATGAACAAAGAAAGTAGAACAGAGAAATGCACACAGGGAAACACAGCCAGTGCTGAGAGCTGCGCACGAAGAGAGAGATGAGCAGTTTGGGGTTGGGTGAAGACCAGTAACTACATTCCAAGCTATCAAAGAAAACCATTCAGGGGCTGGGGAGATGATTCAGTACAGTGCTGTCTGCACAAGCATGAAGCTATGAGTTTGATCCCAGCACTCATACAAAAAGCTGGCATGGCAGCATACATCGGTAATCCCAGTGCTAGGAGGGCAGAGGCAGGAGGATCGCTGGGGTTCACTGGCCAGTCAGCCTTGTATTAGTGGGTAATAGGTTCAGTGAGAGACCTGGTATAAAATAAGGTGAGGCTGGCTAGATGATTCAGGGGGTAAAAGCACTAGCCACATAAGCCTGACAATCTGAGTTCAATTCCTAGAGCCAAAAACAAAACAAAAAACAAACAAACAAAAACCGGATTCAGTGGCTCATGTCTGTAGTCCCAGCACTTCTTTGGGGAGACGGGAGGCAGAGACAGGAGCTCAGGCAGCCTGCAGCACGTAGCAGCACAAACAACAGGAGGCCCTCTGTCAACAAGGCGGAGAGAACCAAGCTCTTCAAGTTGTCCTCCACGTGTGTGCCATGGGATGAGTGTGCCTATAGTCAGACACACAAATCACACACACACACACACACACACACACACACACACACAGAGAGAAAAGCCCTCAGGTGCCACATTGAGTCTTCATGAACTAACTCCAAAAAGTGTGCCTCGCAGTGGCAGGCTGGGAACAGGCTGGGGAAAGAAGCTCTTTGAAGAGCTTCTTTCTGAGGCCAGCGAAGCTGATGGGAAATCCCCCAGAGAGTTTACGCTTTGACACCTGAAGCCCAGCCCTTCCTAGTCTGACACTGACCATCAGTTCTGTACATGAGTAACTGCTATCGGTATCTCAGAATCAAAAAAATAACTAAAAGTAGCAAATGAATGCCAAGAAAAATCAAAATGACTTAATAGGTGACATCTGTAGGCTGAGACTTCCGTCTGCTCAGACCACTAGGTCGCTTTCCTTTTTCTTCAGTTCAATAATGTAGCTCAGTGTATGTGACACCCAACACAAAGGCTTAGTAACACCAGGAAAAGAAGACTCTGGTGAGGGTGAGCACCAGAACACTAAGTGCTCAGACATGAGGTATCTGGAAAGTGGAGTGAGTGACGTCCGTTTCCGTAATCACCACATATGCTGGCGTAGCCAAGATCCTGGGACAGGCAGCTCCTCTCTTTCAGGGAAGGTATGCGTCTACTCCTTTCACAGCCGTGGGCTTTGCTTTCCAGGAGAGACACATGTCTAGCTCTGTGCTCTGTAGAGTACCTAGCAAGTAAGGGGTTGGCTTCTAAAGAACGCGGGACTGTGTGTCCAACGCTCATTCCTTTCAAACACTCCTGTTCGCAGCCACGAGTCACTGTGGAGTGCTTTCCAAGCAAACTGAGGCCGCGGGCTCTTGCCCTTCCACAGCCCTGCCCATGCAGGTATTACTTCTAGGACCTCATGATGTAACCTATAAACACTCCTGTTCGCAGCCACGAGTCACTGTGGAGTGCTTTCCAAGCAAACCGAGGCCGCGGGCTCTTGCCCTTCCACAGCCCTGCCCATGCAGGGTATCACTTCTAGGACCTCATGATGTAACCTACGACGAAACGGCGCAGAAAAGAGGTTCGGGAGACAGCTCGGTGGGTAAGTGCTTGTCACTCAAGCTTGAGGGCCTGAGTTCAGGTCCCTAGAACTCTCATAAAGCCGAGTGAAGTAATGCATATAATCCCAGCACAGGACGGGAGGCAGAGCAGGAAAATCCCTGGAAGCTCGTGGCCAGCTAGCCGGGCATCCATGGCATCGACAACCAAGAGTACATTTGAAGCCGGCCGTGGTGGCACACGCCTTCAATCCCAGCACTAGGAGGCAGAGGCAGGTGGATCTCTGTGAGTTCGAGGCCAGTCTGGTCTCCATTAGCAAATCTAGGCCAGCTGCAGCTACAGTAGGGAGACCTTGTCTCAAAAAGAGCAAAAAATTAAAAACAAGAGAATGTTTGAAACAAGGTAGAAGGCCAGGACTGCCACCCGGAGCTGTTCTCTGACCTCCACGTACGCACTGGTATGTGCACATCCATGTTTACACAGGCAAATGTGCACCCACACATATGTACACAAACACACACATACACACAACAATGAAAAAAACAAAGCAAAACGAATAATTCTGTCCTATTTGAGCTTTCCTCCTCCCTGAGGGACGGAATTGACAGGATTAGCCAGTGGGGCAGGGGAGCACAAAGCCAAACCCTGAGGCAGCCGGCTATGCAGGGGGTCTTGGGTAGACACCATGAAACAGGAAAGACCACGACACAGGAGAACGTGACACACCTCGGAGGTCTCTGTTGAAATCATGAAGTCGTCTGATCTCGCCCTCCAGCTTGTTTCTCATTGCCTTGTCCAGGGACTCGCGCTTGGTGGTGGACTTGACCAGGCCTTCATAGGCTTCTGAGATCCTCTGCAGTTCTTTTTCAAACTGTGGGAAGGAGCTAGCATTAAAGTGGCATTCATGACGGGGCCTCAGCGGCACTGGCTCAACAGCATGCCAAGGCTCCATTTGTTCTGCATGTAGCCTTCCTGTACCTCAGATTTTATATCTATCAAAGAGTGGAATTGGGTTTGCTCCCCCTTCTGCCCTCTAAGAGCTGTATTAGATCCTGTAGCTCTTAAGTCTGGCCACACTGTCTGGTGTCACCTTGAAGAGGTCCCTCTGTACTGATAGGAGTAAGGGATGACTCTGAACATCATTTAAAGATCTTTTTTAATGATTTTATTTTTATTTATGTGTGTATGTATGAATGTATGCCACATGTGTGCAGGTGCCTGCAGAGGCCAGAAGAGGGCGCTAGATTCCCTGGAACTGGAGTTACAGGCAGCTATAAACTGCCCAGCATGGGTGCTGCTAACCAAACCCCAATTCTCTAAAAGAGCAGGGAGTGATCTTAACTGCTGAGTCATCTTTCCAGCCCCCTACAAACAAAACAAGTTGTATTATCATTTATGACTATTAATATTATTTCCATTTCACATAAGGAAAATATGTGGAAAGTCTCAAGCACTTCACCCAAAATCCAAACTTCCAGATTCCACGCCAGGGCAGGCTTCATCGTGGACTGTTGTCTGTGAAATAGCTCCAACAAGGACCAATGGACTTGTTCCTAACTATAAACAGATGCACCGCAGAAAACCTTTCTTATGTGTAGGAATTGAGAGGTGACAGGTTTAAGATAGTATGTTTACATTTATTTGTTTGTATTTTGTCATTCAAGAACTCTTAACTGTGGGGGTCTTTAACTTACAACATATGAAAATCAGTAACGTGAGTCCATAGCTGTTATAATGGGGCTCTAACATCATAGCGGTTTTGAAGTGGATACCGGAAAAATCTCACTGTGGTGTTGTGCAGTAGATCAGAAGTTCAGTCTGGAGGAGATGAAATGGAACCTGCCTAGATGCCCATCAACACACTACTGAATAAAGAAAATGTGGTTTACACACACAATGCCGCTTTATTCAGCTGTAAAGGAAAATGAAGTTACGTTATTTGCAGGGAAATGGATGGAACTGGAGATCATCATGCAAGTAAAGTGAGCCAGACTCAGAATCACAAATACCATGTGTGCATGTCTGGGACTGGCTCAGTGGTAAAGAGTCTATCTAGAAAAAAAAACAGAAAAATAGCTTGGCATATTTAATCCCTTGCACTCAGGAGGGAGAGACAGGCAGATCTCTGTGATTGAGGTCAGCCTGGTCTACATAACAAGTTCCAGGCCAGCTGGGAACACAGGGAGACCCTGTCTCAAAAAACAAAACAAAACAGAAAAACAACCATCATATATATATATATATATGTCCTTGGAGCTGGAGAGGTGGCTCAGTGACTAAGAGCACTGGCTGCTCTTGCAGAGGACCTGGGTTCAGTTCCCAACACCCACATGGCAGATGACTGTCTACGACTCCAGTTTCAGGGGATCCTACACTCTCTTCTGACCTCTGTGGGCACTGCATGCATGTGGCACACTTACATACATGCAGGCAAAACATTCATACAAAATAAAAATAAATAACTAGATAAATAACATTAAATGTATGTGCACAGAGCATGGAAGTGGGAGGAGGGGAGGGAGGGAGCGTGTAATGGGAGTGAGTACAAGTGGGCACAAGGACACACGTGTGGGCGTGTCTTGATGAAGCCCATTATTTAGTTACATTAACTAAAACTTTTAAAAAATAAATGTGTGTTCATGAGCTAAGGGGACAGGTACCCAGACAGACACGTGACTCCAGCCTCTGCATGTTCGCAGCCTAAGCAGGCGGCACCCAGACACACACTTCTTCAGTGTGGAGTGACAAGCAGTTGGTGAACAAATGCTGTGGTAGCCCAGAGATGAAGTGATTCATTTCACATGGGCGAGGGGTTTCTTCGGAAAAGAGTTCAGAGGAAAGGTCATTTGCTATGAGCCTTAAAGGACAAATGGGGGTTACAGAAAAGAAATGTCAAAGGGCTTTGGTATTCTAGGTAGGGGAAGGGTCATGAGCCAAGACCTCGCCAGGAAAGAAGTGACTGTATTAGATGTGACGGATGGTCCACGGAGGAGAGCAAGGTGGAAGTGGCCAGAGCAAGGGCCAAAGAACGGCCTTGAGACTGTGGGCCAAGGAGACTTACAGGCATGGGGGCTGGTGGGGATGGCAGGTTATGAGAGTAGCAGGACTGGAGAGATGGTTCAGCCATTAAGACCACTGGTACTCTTGCAGAGGACCCAGATTTGACTCCCAAGCACCCACATGGTGGCTAACAGCCCTCTGTAACTCCAGTTCCAGGGGATTCAACGCTCTCTTCTGACATCTGCAAGCATTGCACAACATGAGTGCACTCACATTATATGCAGGCAATACACTCATACACACAAAATCAAAATAATAAATAAAATATTTTTTAAAGGAAGGACAGCATGATCCTCTCAGAGGATCATAAAACTAAAAGATGGAGTAGGGAGGGAAAGACGTCCACGTGAGGAGCTGATGTGAATAGAACACTGGCCACTGGCTAGGGCCAGAGCTAGGATCACTGAAAGGACGAATTCTAGAATAAGCAGGTCTTGGTAATTGGCTCTAGAGAGTAAGAGAAAGAAGTCAAAAGTAACAAAGACATACAAGAGAGGCGACACTGCTCAGTCAAGGCAAAGGCTAGAGAGACAAGTTCAGCAAAACCAAAAGCCAATCTGGCTTTGGGGGTGCCGTGTCTAAAGCCTGCAGAACATCAAAGGTTTCTAGTTGGCAGGTAGAGCTACCTGAAGTCAGGAGAGGGCATCGAAGTCAGGAGAGGGGCATCGGCAGCCAACAGATGACAGTGGTCACAAGTGAAGACCACTTAGGGACTACGATTAGAGGGCCAAGGATGAGGAGTGCTCATATTGGGGGTGAGGGGCAGGAGATCCAGAGAGAGAGAGACTGAGGCCAGCAGTGCCTTGGGCACTGGGAAGCCAAACACTTAAAGAAGAGATGAAACCACAGTCAACTCCTCAAAGATGTAAAGGTGCCAAGACAAGGCCGGTGAGGAGGCCGGGGGCTGGGGGCTTCTGCCCAGAAGCAGTTAAGCAGGCAGGAGCTGGGGTTGCGGGGTCCTTTGGTACACATGATTCTCCTTCAGGTCCTATAACGGAGTTGGCTCTTCCTCTGTCCCACTCTTCAGCAAGACCTTTCTGTTTCTTCCAGAGCAATCATGAATCATTGGTGATGTGGCGGTACAGAGAACAGTGTGCAGACGGGCATACTGCAGAGACAGCCCACAGTCACTAAGGAAACTGAGCGTACCCTAAGCCTTGAGGTACCCCCTTGCTCACTTGCAAGCCAGAGACATTTCTGAACTACGCCACCTTCAGGAACCCTCCTGATTTGTCCCTTGAACTGGGATCCTCATGGGCACATACATTTTGTGTCTGATTTGAGCATTAACTCCATGAGGGCAGAAATAGCCCTCGTTGGCTGTTAGCTGCTTTCACAGTGATGTGATCAAATTCCATGTAAGAAGCATCTTAGGAAGGATTTATTTTGGCTCATGGAGTAGAGCCAATCGTGGGTGGAGGCATGGGTGTCCATGGTGGCGGGAGTGGAGGGCTGGAAGGCCTCACATCCCAGCAGAGCAGGAAGCAGAGAACAGGGTTGCTGGCATTCTGTGGCTTTCACCTTCTGAGATTTCTGTTCAGTCTGGAACCCCAGCCGGTGGGATGCTGCTCACCCACACTCAAGGAGGGTCTTCCTCATCAGTTAATCCTCTCTGGCATTGTCCTCATAGACCCAAAGAGAGACTTAACTAATGCCCTGGGCATTCTGAATCCAATCAGGTTGACAATCCAATTTACTATCATACTGCTCTAGCACGGTAGCCCACCTGTGACCAAATCTCCACTAACTAATCCAGCAGGAGTGGGCGTAATTATTCCTAACCGCAGATTCTTCCCTACCACCAAGACAGCTTCCCCTGAACATTCCAAGAGGACACTTCAGCATCCCGAGCACACGTTGTTTACCACACCAAAGCATGGGAGCGTTTCTTAGTTCTGTCTCCAGCAGTGTAGACCACCGAGTGGGGAGATCTTCTCTGGAAATGCTTAAGTGAAGAAAGAACGGCTTCCTTTCGGGGACATGAAGCCAGGCTTCCTAAGAAATGAGCAGAGGCATACCTAGAGCCTCTCAGCCAGTCCCAGTACCAGCTACGGGCTAACCAAAAGAATGACCAAGCCAGCCACTCTTTAGGGGAGTCCTTGCCCACCATGTCCCCACTGCCTGTGCCTCTTGGAAACCAGGTCTTTGTAACTAGGCTGGGCTTCGCCAGCTCTGACCTCAGCCTTTCTTTTCTGTTGCGCCCCTGGAACACAGAGGTTAAGACTTGTAGGTAAATTCCGTCTATTGGCAGCGACTCTTGGTGAGGACCAGCATGCTCCCGAGGCTGCAGGAGTTCACGAGACAGATGATTGTGTAGGCACACAGTACCACGGGCCCAGCCAAAGCAGGGGCCAAGTAAATGTAACTAGGCTGGGCTTCGCCAGCTCTGACCTCAGCCTTTCTTTTCTGTTGCGCCCCTGGAACACAGAGGTTAAGACTTGTAGGTAAATTCCGTCTATTGGCAGCGACTCTTGGTGAGGACCAGCATGCTCCCGAGGCTGCAGGAGTTCACGAGACAGTTGATCGTGTAGGCACACAGTACCATGGGCCCAGCCAAAGCAGGGGCCAAGTAAGTACCAGGAAATTACAGCCACCATCACTAGAAGCAAAGTCCTTCCATCATCTGACCACCCCCCTCCGCAGACCTAAATCTTAGACAGCTCTTAAGAACACTGAACAGGGAGCTGGAGAGATGGCTCAGCGGTTAAGAGCACTGACTGCTCTTGCAGAGGACCTGAGTTCAATTCCCAGACAGAGCCCAGATGGCGGCTAACAACAGTCTGTAACTCCAGTTCCAAGGGATCCGACACCCTCTTCTGACTTCCATGGGGCACTGAACAACACGGGTGCACCTACCTACCTGCAAACAATACACTCATACACATTAAATAAAACTGAAAAAAACGAACACAAGGGAAAATGTGGAATTGGACTGAGCCTCTGCCAAGCTCCTGCAACCTTTGGTCCAGGTCACCAGGAACAAGTACAGAAATACAGATGAGTACGGCCAGGCTCGCAAAATGTGAGGTTGTGAACGGGCAGCTGGCTCGACATCGGCAGGCAACAAAACACGGTACTTGTGGGACCATTTGTGAAACTCTAGGAAGGAATCGTGGGTTCCTGAGGACCGGCTCTTGACTCCCCTCCTTCTCAGATGTCATCCATGTCCTTTTGGCCACCAATTCTAAGACTCGTCCTTTGTTCAGAGAAGCTGACACCTTGTAAGATTAAGTTATTTTATTTTCTAAAAAGAAATACGCATCAAAATCAAGAAAGAATATGAGGGTGGTCCGTGAGAACATACACGGATGGAAAACGCAGGCTTCTCCTGCAGTGTGGACTCCAGTTACACCCATGCAAGGGACCCAGCACTGCACACTGTTCACCCACATTCGCCCTCAGGTGGGTCTCCAGGGCTCCTGGGCATTTCTGCCAGGGAGCTTCGTTAAAGAAGAAAGAAGTACTATTTCCAGAAGTGCTGAGCCAGCCCTTCCCAATTTCCAGGCTGTACTGAGAGAGGCTGTCTGGGAGGTGTGGGTATGAGGGCAAGCTGCGACCTGAGCGGGAAGGTATGGGCAGGGGCTGGGAGACAGCAAGCCTGCTTTGCAATGCGAAGTTTCAAGTGTGGGTAGAACTGGGGTGGCAAGCTCCAGGCAATCCATTTGGCTCTCATTTCTCTCCTCCCAAAAAACAACCAGAGCTCCCCAGACCAAGCGAACACCGCACCCTTGCTGTGGGAGCTCCACACCAAAGTACTAGGGCAGATTCTGTGAATATTCACACCATCCAGCCCACTGCTCCAAGCTCTGTGCTGTCAGCGCCCAGGGAAAATCAGAGGGGACAGCTGTTCCAAACCCCTCCAGCTTTAGCTGGGACATCAGAACTACACAGCGAGGACCACTAATTGTCACACGAAACCAAAGAGTGCTCTCGTAGTTAGGTAGGGTTTATATGCCTACACTTTCTCCTCATCAAAGCCCCTTATTGCCAGGGACAGAGCCAGGCACTCAGACTCATAAGATCCCTACCATGCATGCATCCTTGTGCTCAGAAATGAAACTGAGTATGCGCGGCCCCCTGCCCTGTGGCACTCCATTATCTTGCCCTTTCTTCTTCCATCCTTCCCACAGCCCATCAGATACAAGTGTGGGACACAAATTCATCAGCCAGGATCAGTTTGCTTCTTGGAGCTTTTTTGACACAGGGTCTCCCTATGTAGCCCAGGTTATCCTTGACCTTGCAGCGACCATCCTATGTTGGCCTCCTGAGTGCTGAGATTAAAGGCATGTGCCACCAGGCCTAGTTCACTTTTGGCAGATGAAAATTTCCCATGTACTCTGGCTCTGAGCACAAAGCTCGAAGAATGAAGACAGCCACAGATTCTGTCAGCCCTTGGCCCATGACAGTGCCACAGGCAGGCACTGCTCGGGGGTCTCCCTGCCTGGTGAGTGGCAGGTATAGGGTAGGGTTGCAGTAACTCTCCTCTCCACCTCCAGTGTCCACACCATGCTGCTTAATTAGTTTTGAAAAATTTTATTATTTTTATGTGTATGTGTGTATTGTCTGCACTATGTAAGAGTTCCTGTATTGTGCAATGCCCGCAGAGGACAGAAGAGGCTGTCAGATCCCCCTGGAACTGGAGTTACAGGCAATTGTTAGCTGCCATGTGGGTGCTGGGATTCGAACCTAGGTCTTCTGCAAGAATAGTCAGTATTCTTAATCACTGAGCCATCTCTCCAACCCCCATGATGCCTTTTCACAGTGACCAGCTAATGAATCCACGATGACAATTTCAGGTCCCTGAGATGCCCAAATTTACAAGTGTGGTCTCTCCACACCTGGGAAAGGTTATGGAGTCACAGAGTCCCTGACTAAGTCCCGCTGCACCGTGACTGCTGTACCCTTGCCTGCTCTGCTGTACGGATTAGCTCGTGCATCTCTCTCCCCTTCTGAGGGTCAGCAACTCAAGGCAGGCCCTAGGTCATGGTCTGGATGTCTCCTGAACACCTTGCACAGTGCTTGGCATGAAAGGGATCTCATTAAAGGCTGTCAAGTGAGTCAGCAAATCAAGGCCTCACAGGCAGGTAAAGAATTCTGCTCCAGGCTGGGGATGTAAGTCTGCTGCCAGAGTGCGCGCCTAGCACGCACAAGGCCCTGCGTTTGATTCCCAGCACCGTAGAAACTGAGCACAGTGGCACACACCTGTAACCCTAGCTCTTGGGAGGCAGAAGGAGGATCAGTCATTCAAGGTCATCCTACGAGGCAGATTGAGTTTGAGGCCAAGCTTGGAATATGTGAGGCCCTGTCTCAACAAAAACAAACAGCACATCCCCTTTCAGAGACTCTGTCCCATCCTCACCCCAGGAAGTCACCTTACCTTGTGAAGCTTGTCTGCGTTGTCGTAGTAACCCTGAAGCTCCTGGTGAAGCACGCGGTTCTCCTCTGTGAGGATCTCCACCATCTGCTGGGCCCTCTCCACAATGGCAAAGGCATCTGGTCCAAGCTGCTGGCTGGGTGATGCTGACGGGGGCTGTGGAGCCGCCAGGGTCATAGGAAGGGGAAGTGGCAGGGAGACGGAGTGCAGAGGCCCGCTGATGGAGGATGTCTGCGAGGACACGGGGCTGTGCTGCTGCACCGTGGATGGGAATGGGAGCTGGCACGGACGGCTGCAGGGAACAGAAACCAGCCATCAGATTCCAGAGGAAATGGCGGGAGGGGGTCACCACCATAGACATCATCACTGGTTTTCCTTGGACAGGAGTTACCCATCGCTTAGCTGAAAAGCAGGTTCAGGCTTCACAGGGATTTACCGTGCTCTTAATCAGTGTTGGCTACTGGGAAGACAGTGGACAGGCCAGACCAGGTCTCTGCTCTCTAGGAGAGATGGAAGTCTTCCATGATTAAGACACAGCCGAGGACGGAAGCACTCTCCAGAGCAGGGGGTGCCAGTGGGAGCGGAAAAAGAGGCCTCACGGGGCAGAGGTTTGGGCTGAAGTCTGCAGGACAGACAGGAAGGAGCCAGTGGTTTGGGTGGGGGGCGAAGTGGGGAAGGGAGTATCACGGACAGGGAAACCAGCCAGCATGCATGGCTGTGCAGGAACCAGCACCCCCAGCACCCCCAGCACCAGCACCAGCACCCCCAGCACCACCAGCATCAGCACCACGAGCAGCATCAAATGGAAGGACGCACACCCTACAAAGCACAGGCACCAGTGAGCACACAGCAGCCCTAGAGGTACAGTTTCCTAAGCCACACCACACTCCTTCAGGGGCATACAGAGGCCAGTGGAGGGCCTGCTCTGCTAGGAGCAGTGTGCAAAGAATTCGGTGCATGGTGGCAGGAACAGGTGCATGGAGCTCAACAGCAGCGGCCTGGGTGTGGCCTGGGGGAGACTCACTTGACATTATGAAAGATGAGAAGAAAGAAAGGGAGGAAGATAAAGTTTGCTCCTAGATTTGGGCCTTAGCACAAGTGCATAGAGCTATCACTTAGTCTGGAAGAAGAACTGATTGTTGTGTTTGGAGCTGGACTAAGTAGCAAGACTTTAATGCTAGCCACATGACAAAAAACACCCCCCTAAAAGTGTCCTGCAATGGCTGAATTCCCAGCAGTGGACGGTGTAGTTCCAATGACAATGTCCAGGTGTTTGGACATGTGGCCTGACTTGCAGAGGTTTAGGAGGTGTGGTCTCACTGAAGGAAGCACCACGGAGTGGGCTTTGAGAGTCCACAGCCCCAGTGCAGTTTCTCTCTCTGCTGCCTGTTGTGCTTGGAGAGGTGAGTGCTCGGCTCTCTGCTCCGGCTGCCTCCTGCCACGATGGACTTTCTTCTCTGGAACCAGAAGCCCAAAGAAACCTTCCTTGTATCCATTGCCTTGGCCTTCGTGTTTTGTCAAAGCAGCAGAGAAGCATCTGATTTCTCCTTCCAAGTGTCTCCCGATTCAGAAAGGAACGCTGTCAGTGGTGGCCCCGAATTGCCCTGTTGCCTCTCCATACACCTTCTGCAGAACTACTCAGCCATCTCTTTAAACCAAAAGGTTTCCACAGTTTGATGAGTCTGTGCCTCTTCCACACTAGGGTGCGTGCGATATATGTTTTCTGTGTCTACCAGGAGGTTCCATTCATTCTGCCCAGTTTTTGTCCCAGGTCATGGGCATGGATCCAAAACCCATGGAGTTATTACCAAGGGCTTCCTGAAGGCTGGGTGAACCCCACAACACATTTTTCATAGGAAAAGGTTATCTTCACAAGAGTTATTATTACCAAGGGCTTCCTGAAGGCTGGGTGAACCCCACAACACATTTTTCATCTTCACAAGAGTTAAAATATCACACACTGCCTTCAAACCCAAAGGCTGATGTCCCTGCCCACCTCTGAAGTATTTCCTCCACACCTGACCCATGGCACAGGTCATACAGTTGGTCTCCTTGCTGGCCGAGGGAGGCAGCTTTGCTCCTGGAAGGACGAGGTGTTTGAGGGCAGGCTTCCAGCTCTCTGACATTTACCTAACTCCAGGTTTGGAATTCACTTTCAGTCCATGATGTGCTCTCCCTTCTTATATAACAGCAAGGAAACCCAAGAAGAAAGGTAAGTCAGAGGGTAACGCCTTCTTTTGGGGGCGTTTTTTTGAGACAGGGTCTCCCTGTAGCCCCAGCTAACCTGGAACTCACTATGTAGACCAGGCTGGCCTTGCACAGAGATCCATCTGCCTCTGCCTCCCAAGTACTGGGATTAAAGGCGTGTGCCCCCACACCCAGTGGGTAATGACTACTTGATGCCAACTTAACTCCTCAGAGGGAGTGTGAGAATGCAGGAAAAAAATGTATTTGTCAAGCGTAGAAGAAAAGGTCTTCTACCAAACAGGGAACAGAGCTCTGTTCACATTAAGGCAAATAAGCCCAGTAGTAAGACGAATGATGGTCAGGCAAGAGGACAAACCTCTGCCCCTTGGATCCACAATTCAGCCTGGCACGGTTGGTTGACTCCAAGAGCTGTCAGACAGAGCTGGGCTTAGTGTAAAAGTCTCAGGAGAGTTTCATGCAGAATCATCTCAGTGCTGTGAAACAGTCTGCCCTGTTCTTGCAAAGACAACATGGCGGGTAGACCACAGAATAAACTCTTCCTAGTGAGGAAGGAACAAAGGGGGAAAGGAGGGCATACAGGGGCCAAGATTTATTGAGAACAGACTTATGAATGTAATTCTAAGCTGTGACTGACCACCTTTGAGCCTCTCCCCCACTGGACTGTGGAGTGGTAGAGTAAGCTCATTAGAGGTTCATGGCTCCATTCCACCCACACAGTTGTCAAAGGATGTGAAGACAGTATGCATCCAGTCTGACACAGTAAGCCCTGGACAATGCTAGTGTCCATCACCTTAACCATCATCAGTGCATGCCCTCATCCCTCATACAGAGCTGGGCCTGGGGCATTTGTGAGACACTGTCCAAGTATTTGCTAAGGGTAACATTTACTGAGTGCTCCTTGTGCTCAGCTATGGTTGGCCCATGTTACATGCACTGTCTCCTTTTGACCCTTAAAAATAGGTATTTAGCTTGTGAGATGGCTCATCAGCCACCAAGCCTGTTGACCTGAGTTCCTTCTCTGGGTTCCACATGGTGGAAGGAAAGAACCAAGATGTCCTCTGACGTCCGCACATGTGCTACCCCTGGCCAACACACACACACACACACACACACACACACACACACACACAAATAGGCATCACCGTCAGTCTATTAGACAAGGAAGACAAAGCACAGAAGGAGCAACCAGCAAAATAGGAAGAGAAAGTGGATGATGGGACAGTCACAGTCACCTCAGCTCATAACACCTCAGCTCTCACGTCACCTCAGATAATGTCACCTCAGCTCTCACGTCACCTCAGCTCTCATGTCACATCAGCTCATGTCACCTCAGCTCATGTCACCTCAGCTCATGTCACCTCAGCTCATGTCACATCTATGGAGCACGGAGCTAACATCCACGGAAGGACTCTGCCAGGTGGACACTTGATCACCTTGCCCAACCTTCACACTGAGGTAGGCAGGGCCATCCTCAGGAAAACATGGGTTCAGAAAGCCAAATACATCCTGCTCTTTTCTCGGATGACCAAATCAGCCTTGGAACACCAAAAGCAAGCGACCGTGTCCAGGTGCCATTCAACTGACTGGTTGTTTGAACTCATCTGAGAAGGACTACAAGGGCTTCTCCTCCCCAAGTCCAGCTAGGTATGAAAAAAGGAACCAGAGGATCTCAAGACTAGTGTCTTTTCAAAAAAATTTTTAATTTTATTATTTTTATTTTATGTGTATGAGTGTATTGCCTGCATGTGTATAAGTGCACTTGTGTTATGCAATGCCTACGGAGGTCAGAAGAAGGTGTCAGATCCCCTGGAATTAGAGTTATGGATGGATGTTAGCTGCCATGTGGGTGCTGGGAATCAAACCCAAGACGTCTGCAAAAACAGCCAGTTCTCTTATCCACTGAGCCATCTCTCTGGCCCCAAGAGTAGTGTCTTAGATGAAAACAGCCAGAGGCTGTGCTCTGAGAAAACTGTCGGGCCCATTTTCTGCAGAACCTGACTTCCCAGCACTTCTTCCCGTCTCTCTTCTAAGCTTACTCCTGATAGCTGGAGTCGCCCTGCTGACAGCCTGAATCACCCTCCTGACAGCCACCACTGGCTTGTTATTTCTACCCTTGAATTTCTACTTAAATTTATTACTTTATTCTATATATGTCTTTTCTCCCTAATTATGAGCATGCAAGTTTTCTAAGGATAGAAAGTTATGACTCATGTTAAGCTGGCACCCAGTAACTTTTTTAAATTGATTTAGTCCCCAATTCCAACTCTGAGAGCAAGTTAGATCATATTTGCTTGATTGCTTTTCAGAAGAGAAAAATCTTCAACATCGTGTGAGGAAGGAGAGACCGCCACCATTCAGATTTGCCCAGACTGTGAAATCATGAAGATGCCTATACGGTAATAGCTCTGGGACAGAGACCTTCTGTGTCAGAGGCCACAAAACGCAACACGAAACTACTGGTGATGTTATTTGGTATTGGGGAAACAGGTAACATTGTTAGTGATGTTAGGAACACTGTGCCTGTCAGCATACAAGGCTTCATAAACTTATTAGACTTAAGCTTTGACATTCTACCTGCAAATAAGTGTGCCATGCACAGCACTGCTGTAAGCTGAGCCTCACTAGCCTAAACATCCACTGCTCCCATTCCAAGTGCACTGTTACATTTCATAAGTTTGCAGATTAAGGCTCCCAGGATTTACAAGACAAACCAGACGTATCACATTCTATGCAAAGTTAAAAACACTTCCCAAATCACAAGTTCTCGTATGCCAGGAGCCTCCTGGTCAGCACAGGATAGCACTGTTTTTTAATAGAAGCAGATTTTTTTTTCTCTTCGTTTTGAGGCAGGGTCTCACTATGTAGCCCTGGCTATGTAGACCAGGCTGGTCTTGAACTCACAAAGATCTATATGCCTCTGCTAGGATTAAAGGCATGTACCACCATGCCAAGCTTGGGGCCTCTTTCCTCCACTCTGGACTATATTAGCCATATGGTTTACATGGACAAGTTATTAACCTCTTCTTCACCTGTCTTTGGGGATGATCCCAATTACAGTATCCATCCCACAGAGATGTGAGTCTG